TGGGTGATCCTTATTCAGATACTGGAGGGTAAGAAATATTCCTTTCAGGTATATGAGAGAATATATATTTTGATGTAAGCCCTAGACCTCCATCTGCCTATTTTTTTAACCCCACAAACATTTTAAGGGGCTAAAACATAGTTACTAATGACTCTTAATGATCAAGAGAAGAGACATTCTAATAAAATCATCAATTCAGTAAGATTATTGAGAAATGAGATTATCTTAGCCTGGCAGTTAACATGGAGACACAACTTACATGCTGATGTCTTGACACTCTGGGAATCGCATGTCGTTGTAGAAAACGCCCTCGAAGAAAAAGAAAGCTGACTTGTAATGATCCTGAAAACAGAACACATGAAAATATTAACCTCCGTGTATCCAGCGAATGACAAAATGAATATGGACGGATCTTGCACAGTGCTCGGAGTTTCAGATGAAGTGCACGTGTTTACTCACTTTGCTGATGAAGTCTGGAGCCATGTTTGGCGTGTTGCTGAACTCGCCACACACTTGCAAGTCGCTGACGCAGCAAATGGCGTCCTTAAACTCTGCCAAGCTGTGGGAGCCCGTCATCAGCAAAGTCATGTGGGGTCTGACGTAGTTAAACTGAGAGGAAAATGGACAAAAACCTTTCAGGGCTGTGAGCAGTAACGTACAAGAAACGCAGTGTGTGAAGATGGCGTTTGAAGGTTTTCAAAAATAAAAAGCAAACACTCACTTTATCAAAAATGGCAGGGTAGTAGACATTGACGGTCAGAATGACCTCTCCTTCTGGCACCATGTCATCCACTGCTTCTGGTTTCCTGCCATAAGTCAAACGCTCCTGGAAATCAAACGGGGAACCAAGTCGAGTGATACGAATGTCTGGCACCTCCTCCGTCAAACTGAATATTTATTTCTCAGCCTACAAGACTGTTCAAATCTCCTCTGTATAATCTAAGGCAGCATTTCACTCACCAGTTCATTGGCGTAGAGGTCATGTCGGTTCTTAGTGATTTTCAGAGAAGCTTTATAATCTTGTTTCTTTTTCCGTTCTCTATTAGAATCAAATCACAGATATTTTAATATGGATTTGATTACACACTGATGGGACATCTTACTCTGTATATTGTGACAGCTGAGAAAGATTCCTACATTAGTGTTTGAAGCGTCGGGTTCGGAGGCACAACGTCTGGGTCAGGCTGCTCATCCTCAGGATGACAACGGAGTGAATCGATACTGAAAAAGACAGGAGTTAAAATAATTTTAAAAGTCCTGTGAAACTTTTGCAAAGCAACTGGGATCAGACAGCCTATAAACCATCAATAAACTGACTAACACCTTCAGCAGCAGCTGACGCAACTACATTTCCAGGTTTTATTCAACAGTCTCGTGCTTAATGACTGACTGGATCTGTTAATCAATTATCAAAACAGCTTAAAATCTTTCTAAGAACTGATCAAGCGACAGAGTATGAAAAAATAAATGCATCATAACAACCACAGCTTCCTGATGGTGATGATACTTTGATACTCTTCAAAGAAAAGTCATCCTCACTGTGTTATAATACTCACTTAGTAAGAAAATGACTAACATTTCTTATTGTGCTTGTTTACAGTATATTCTGAGCCTGACTTTACTTATTGGAAATCATTTCTGGTGCTAATTATCTATTCCAGTGACGTGATGTTTTTTACCATTTCATTTTTCTTTTTATTTGTATTCACTGCTTTTACGTGGTCCTGTCTTCTTATTGCTTTTACTTGGTCTTATTTGTGTGTTTTCATCTGTCAGAGCACTTTGTAAACCCTGTTTTTAAAGGTGCTTTATTTTTAAGTCCTTTATTCAGGGATCTGATAATGTTGCTTGAAATTAACAGCTCACCTTCTTCCACATGAATGCGCTTGTGGATCGTGGAAATGACGGCCTGATGTACAACACGCCTACTCACATATTCTACCATTACTGACAATAACTCCTCATTTCAATTGTCATTGCTGCTCCCTTCATCTCTTATGTATAAATACTTTTTATGGATGTGGATGTGTTCAGGACCACGTGGCTTCTGTCTGTGCTGCTAAATGTTTTTTGGTGTTTCCTGACTCTTGTTGAGGGTTAAGAACAGAGGACGTCACACCTTGTTAAGCCCTATGAGACATGGCGGTTATTTGTGAACACGGGCAACACTAAAAAATCTGACTGATTGATAATTGATCAATTATCCAACTTAGTCTGAGTTGCCATGGTGATTCCTCCGGCTCAGGATAGAAGCAGCTCTGTAGCACAGTCGAGCTGAAGTAAAGAATGAAATGAATGTGAACCCAGGTAACAGTCAATGACCCAGCGAGCTGATGTACCTGCACACTGCTTTCAGCTCGGCCATGGTCTCCGCACCGACCCCCAGCTCTTTGGCGAAGTTAGCGTCAAACGTGTCCTCGTCCTCCGGCTGGTAGGAGCAGTCTTCGGGCTTCAGTCTGCTCAGCCACTCGCTCCTGAAGCCGCCGATGTGAAACGGTTTGGTGTTGACGTCGGAGTATTCATAATCTGGTATGTTGGTGTTGCTGTCCGTGGACACACTGGACGCCGCCATGTTGCCCCGGATAAAGTGGGAAGTGCGCGGGGGATCATGGGAAATGTAGTTGTTGAGAAGACGCGGCTGCAGCGTTCATGTGCGCGTCTGGAGTTCAGTTGCTGTTCGGTCAAAATGTGTCAGATATAAAAACACATACTACTATTAATACTAATAATGTGATTTATTTACGCCTAACAAAATTACAAAGAGCTTTACAAGAGGGTTAAAAAAACTATACAACCATTAAAGTTAAATTAAGATTGTGGTAGAATCAGTGGGTTAAATTGATAAAAACAATTCACAGAGAGCAGAGATTAAAGCTTTTTCAAATATTAGATCATACAAAACATTATATAAAATGTTTTTCGAATATACAAAATACTTGTGGTATAATGGCTAATATAGTATAATCAATTAAACAGTCAAAACAGTTCACTTAAATTCAAGCTGCACAAAATTTCAAACACACACAGATTTTTTCATCAAGCTCCATGTGTTAATTCCCAGGGAAAACTGTCAAAAATAATTTTCAAAAAAAACAACAAAAACAGTGTTACAAAAAATCTAGATCTGGATCTGCACCAAAATGAAATGGATTCTTTCTTGGCCCAGGTCCTATCCTTCCACAAGGTTTTGTGGTTATACTCTGAGAAGCTTTTGCGTAACCCTGCTGAGAAAAAAACAACCAACAAACAGATTATTTGACAGGATGGAAACCTCCTTGGTGAAGGTCAAATATGACTTAATTTATTAAAACACTAAAATGCAGTATTTCTGAGAATTAAACAGCCAAAACACAGATTTCTCGAATTAAGTTGTCATGTGGGTAGAACAGAGTTTCTAGTTTCTTAAGACACCAGCTGGTGCAACTTAGACACACCAGGGTAATAGGGTGTTTCGAGTCTTTGATCATCATACACTCTCACCGTGGCGACTCAGCCAGGGGTTATCAGTACCCGGCATGTAGGCAGCAAGTAGCTGATCCACTGCCACCTGGAAGGTTTACCGCAGCTTCTGTGATGTTCTTGGTGGCTCTTCTCTCCTGCAATCTCTCCGACAGTCTGGTGCAGAAGCCCCTGCAGCCCAACTCAATGTGCTCACAGAAGGCCCTCCACCCCTGGCTTCTGCACTCCTCCACCAGATTGAGATATTTAGCCCTCTTACGCTCATGTGCCTCCTCCATCCGGACTTTTCTAGGGGACAGTGAGCTCCATCCATCATGACCACTTGCTTGGACGACTCTGATATTAGAACTGTATCTGGCCTCGGCCATCAGCTGCAGGTCGCGGGCTGTGACTAGCAGCTGAGGCCCTGTGTGCCACTTTATGTCTCTCTCCTGGGCTGACAAGGTTGATATTGTGCCCATAGGGCCATTGCTGGCTGTGCTGGATCCCTGTCTGTCCCAGTTCATCCAAGCTCCCCTTTTGTGCATTGCCAGTTGAATAAACTAGTTCCATCATGGTTTAAATAAGTATTTTGTATGAGGAAAGGTACAGTATGTCTCTCACCAGATATAAGATGTTTTTTTGTTGTAGAATAAGAAACATATAAATAATGGCTGGAATAGATCTGTCAAGTAGTGTGTGCATATCATGACCACATTTATTCAAGGAAGTTTTTGTCTGTTTTTTATTCGGGCCGATGGGAACAAGTAAACTATTGCATGTGATTAAGATACAATATTTATGTTGTCATGGTTGTTTCTGAGAGGGGATCCCACTGCAAGAAAATAGATGAAACTGTATTAAAATGTGTGACATCCAAATTTCCTCTTATCTAACACAATGAGAATACATTACAAACGTATGTTTCGTATTTTATCAATCATCTGTTTATCTTGCTTGTGCAAACGGGTTCAGGCCTCATCCCAAGTCCTTGAAATGATCGTGTATTTTAAGAAAAAAAAAAGTCTTCAATGAGCAAAGGGCAGCGCAGCAGGAGAAATGACAAAACCACCAGGGAGAATGAGTTATAAAGGGACATCACATGTATGCACATATTCAGAGATAATGACCAAAAAGTAAAACAGCCTTTGTCCTGACAGAGTTGAGTAAAACCATTGATGACTAGTTATCGGGTGACTGGGGGAATTTGTCCCTGGATGACACAGTGGTGATTTGTGATTGAGACGCCTCAGTATCACTGCCTCTGTTTATCATTGCTTGAGTGCTGGACTTTTACTCAGGTTCATTTATCTGACAGCTGAGGTTACTTGTTACTTTTCAAAATAAAATCCCAAATACAAAAACATATAACAAGCTTTTAAACACTTTTTGGCTTGTAAACAGGACTTGGAACTGTTCCTTAAATGATCATCTCTGGAAGTGATGAACTATTTCTTGTCAGTGCTGCTCAGGAGGAGAGAAACCCTGATGTAGTCCTGCTTCATGTTCTGTGGCATGAGGAGGAAGGAATACAACGTGGGCTGGACTTCAGATGTGGCCACTCCCGTTTTTTGAGCAGATAAATACTGCGGCAGGTCACATTATCAGTTTGTCCGGGTGGAGGCACATGTACTGTATTTAAGTGGCACTTTCACCTCGGCGCAAAAAACCCTCAGCATCCAATGGAGACGAAGGATAATTCAATGCAGCAGGTAGGCTCCGTTTGCACCGTGCGTCAACTCTGTGCAGCTGCGTAATGACCACTTGGGGTTTTCATTTAATTTGATCATGCAACCGCTTGTAAACTTCACCCACATCTCACCCATCACATGCACAATTTCTCCGTGTTGCCAAGTATGATTTTTACAAAGCAAGACATCATCCGTGTAGTTGACCAGCAAGGGATAAACTGGCACAGATGCATGACTGTGAAGGTATTTTATTGTCTACACACCAGCATGTATGCGTTTGACTGCTTTAAATTCATTAAAGATGATTAATAATGGTAATCAGGCTTTGTCTGGGTTTAGGAAAATTAATCTCTGTATATTTTGTATTCTTTTTCCCAGGTGGAGCTAAACCTTCCCAGTGAGGAAACGATGTAAGTGACATTAAAAATGCTCTGTTGTTTTATCTTGATGTTTTCTTGTGCGGTATTTTTAATGAGTAACAACGCTGCTTCTAAAAAACTGATTATTTAAAAGCACTTTATTATTCTCATCAGACATCGTATGATATCTGTTGATTGTCTCTTCACACGTTTGATAAACTTGCTCCTCAGTCTTGACCCAACCTAAGAAGAAACCATCGTTTTCCACAGTATGATTTTGTTGTGACAAGGTCATTTGATCCCCCCCACATAATACCTTTTCAGAACTAACGAATAGTGATTTATTTGTTTTTTAAAAAATAATTATTTCACTACAAACTGGGGCCCTTAAGCCCACATTGGCCCCTGTGCACATCCATTCCATTGTATATAGCAAGAATGCATCAAAGCACTCCTTTGACGTGTGTTCTCTATTAACACTACCACACGCCATGATCAGTGAGTGATGAGCTGTTTGACTCCTCCATGTACCTTCACACAATCTGCTCAGCGACAGAATGCACTTTTTACATCTTCAGATTAACACAGAGTCGTCCCTGAGAGAATGTTTGCGGAATAAGAAAAATTACCCAAAGTTTCACATGGGTTACACGAAAGTAGGAAGTGGAAGTTTTTGATGATACTGTGCCTCCTGATGTCCATTAATAACCTGTCAGATTTACATGTAGAGGCCTAACACCCATTTCCCTTTCATTCAGATCACCTCAAATGGATCTGGAGACCGCTCTGACTGAATGTGCCGCCGCCCTCGACCTCTTTCTGAATAACAGGTTTGCTGATGCACTGGCTGTTTTAAAACCCTGGTAAGTTTTGACATGCATAGAACACTCCAGCCGACTTTTGATTTCAACATGCTGCTGATTCTTCAGACTGCTGGCATTACTCTCATTTCGTTTAGTAAAATAAATATCATTGTATCTGTCCCCATCAGGAAGAATCAGAGCATGTACCATGCCATGGGCTACAGCAGCATCTTGGTGATGCAGGCAGGCATGACCTTTGACCCAAGCGACATGGATGCCGCCATGACGTCACTGAGAGAATCCCTGCAGACGTGTCAGGGGTATGGAGAAATAGTATTAAAATCTTGTATTTTTTTAAGTTCATAATTCTACACTGGGACAACAGGGGACCTTGCAAGGCTAGAAAATATGTCAGATATTAAATACAGATTAATTTGTAATATTTCTAATGGACACTGTCCTGCTACTTCTCAATTGGTCTCATGTTAAAATGTTGCATGTTCCTTAACTTTGGTAGATTTCGGAAAAAAACTGGGATCATGGAGACTCTGACCAGCATGTGGTACAGACAACCAGCTGACAGTATGACGGAGGGTGAGTGAACCACTCTCTTCAGACTCTTCACCTTGGATAATGAGCAGAACTGATTTGCTAATGTCAAATCAGAGAAAACTTTCAATGACACTTGGATAATGACGTACTTCCACCCATTTAACTGAACATTATCACATCAAGATCTGAATGCATGACATTATTAGAATGGCACTGAGAGAGGTCCAACAGTCCCCTTATGAAGAAAGTAGCATGTGTGTGATTCTGAATTGCAACATTCCTGTGAATAATTTATTATAAACGCATTAATTAAAATGAACCTCTACTAATTTCTTTATTTTCAAAATGATTTATTATTTTCTTATCTAACCTTGAAGTTAATTTTCCTTCACAGAGGAGGTGCATGCAGAGCTGTGCTATGCTGAGGTTCTGCTCCAGAAGGCAGCGCTCACGTTCCTAGATGAGAGTATCATCGGCTTCATCAAGGGCGGAATGAGAATACGAAACAGTTATCAGATTTACAAGTAAGACACCTGAAGGGGGGGGGGGGGTCTCCTGTGGTGAAAAGGTCCTAAACAGACAATTACAGCACTTATCATATTTGAGAGAATTCCAATGGAACTCAACATGTCATTTCCTCAAACAGGGATTGCCAGGCCATGGTGACTGTCACAAAAGAAGTGGAAAAACAGAAGAGTACACACGTTCATTTTCGAGGAGGCGTCAACATGGGCATTGGATCCTTTAACCTGGTGAGAGCTCCAGAAACTATGCAGGAATGCAGAACCTAAGTTACTTGTATGTGGAGTTTGTCAGGGACAAACAAATGCTAACTGTTTTGTATTGTAATGGAAGACTTAAAATACCATTGTCATGCTGTGTTAATTCGTTTCATAATAAACCAACCATCTCTTTTTCTTATCAGATGCTGTCTCTGCTTCCATCCAGAGTCCTCAGGCTGATGGAGTTTTTGGGCTTCTCAGGAGACAGGGTGGGTCGTCTGATATCACATCTTGGCTTAATGAAATAAATATTTTTATGTTAAATCAAAGAATAATTAGATAATCATGTAACAGGAGTTGGGGTTGTCAGAGCTGAGAGAGGGAGCAGCCAGTAATGGCCTGCGCTCGATCCTCAGCACCCTGACCCTGCTGATGTTTCATCTCTACATCACAGTTATACTCGGTATGTGTGTTTTTCATTTTCTTTTCTTTATATGTAAAATAAAACATTATTTTGGAGTGCTTCATTATAAATTAATTTCCCTCCACTCTTATTGTCCATCAGGTACTGGTGAAGGAGACCTGGCTGAGTCTGAAGCTTTGCTTGAACCCTACATTAAAAAGTTCCCTAATGTGAGTGGTTTGTTTGTCTGATTCTGACTGAAGATGCCACATACTGTGTTTTATTTCCCTGCCCAGTGACATTTGTATCATTTTAATTAATTTAATGTATTTGGTCCTTAGGGGGCGCTCATTCTTTTCTACACGGCAAGAATTGCATTGCTCAAAGGCAACTTCACCTTTGTGAGTATTTGTGATGTGTTGGCTTCAGATGCACGCTCCTCTCGTGTAGTTGTAATGAAATTCATTGAGTCTGGTTTGCTCTGCAGGCCCAGGAGAAGTTCCTGGCGTGTATCGCAGCACAGCAGGAGTGGCATCAGATTCACCACCTCTGCTACTGGGAGCTGATGTGGGCCTACTCCTTTGAACAGAACTGGAAGGAGGCTTATCGATACGCTGACCTCCTCTGCAAGGAGAGCAAGTGGTCCCAGGTATCTCATGGAACGGTTTTATGCCTCTGAACCAGCAACGGTTGCCAGAGGCTCTGTTCTCAGGTTGTTTATCATGAATATGATATCTGAGGGAATTTCCTCAGATCTGACACAAACGTCAGACAATGAGGCAAAAGTGTCTCTGGCCTCTCCATGTTATCTGCTGGGCCATGAGCCACAGTAAAAAGTCAAAATACACGTTGAATTCAGATTTCTCAAAGATGGTTTCTGTCCTTTACAGTAGTTCTTATCCCACTTTATATTCCAGAGTTCATTTTTCCAGTAAGTTAGATTTTTAATTACGGGGTAAAACATCATGATTGACAGCTGAGACATGAGACTCATGATTGGTGGCCTGGGTTTATTGGTGGGACCTCAATACTGCGGCTCCTTCCCCTGTTCGTTACTGCACAGATTCTGGCTCGAAATGAAGTCTTCTGCACTAGATGGCAGCATTCTTATCCAGGATATTTTGGTTTCATTTCTGGATAGTGGGAGGAAGTGGAGACTCGTCGTCCATCTTTTATATATATTCTGCTGTGACCTCACAAAGCGTTTTTTGCCATAATGACATCGATTAGGATAAGATACACATTTTGCTAGATTTCTCTTTCATTCAATTCCTACAGTCTTCATTACATATATTTAAAAGTGCAGCATGACTGATTGGCTCACGCAACAATAACAAAGCACTTTTAGTCTCACTTTGCCATAAGGTCAAATTTCTGATGTCTCCTGTTTTACCCTCGTAACAAGTTGTTTGCTCTTTTCTCGTAGGCTACATATGTGTTCCAGAAGGCTGCCATCTTGACCATGCTTCCAGAGGAGGAAGTGGCCCAACTGGGAGAAAACGTGGTGGACTTATTCAGGTGTGTTTGGGGGATAGGACGATAATCTATCACTACTCTTTTGTTTATCAATCCAGTTAATGTGAGACATATGGCTCATAGGCAGGTTGAGGGTCTCAGACTGAGGATCGCTGGGAAATCGATTCCAACAGAGAAGTTTGCAGCAAAGAAGGCCCAGCGGTACATTTCCTCCAACCCTGTGAAACTGGTTGTCCCTGCGTTGGTAAGAACATGCACAGGCTCTGCTACTTTCAATGAATCAACAAATCCATAAAACCATTTTAAACAATGACCATGTTTCTTCCTTTTCACAGGAAATGATGTATGTGTGGAACGGCTTCACAATAGTTGGAAAAAGGCCTGAGCTGACTGAAGGCATTTTGAACACCTTGGAAAAAGCAGAGAAGCAGCTCAGAGATGACCCAAGTGAGAGAGACTGTTCAACTTTAATTTAAATTTCTTTTATCTTGCTAAACTGACACTAACAAGCATTTTGTTTTGTTTAACGCATAGACCCATCAGAGTATCACGTAGATGACCAGTGTGTCGTCCAGCTGATGAAGGGCTTGTGTCTGAGACAGTTGGGTCTTCTGGCCCAGGCTGAGAAGTGCTTCAACCACGTCATCTCCAGGTGAGGTCATTTTAAAGTGGACTGCCTACATTTGATCCAAACGCTCATTGAACAATAACTTTTAAAACAACATTTTAGAATGTGACAGTGGAATCATTGTAATGCTGCACTTTTGAACTCTGGGGTGACTTTTCATTTTATTTTATTCCAGTGAAAATGAGATCAAGCATGAGAACTATCTGGTGCCGTTTACCATGTTTGAGCTGGGCCTGCTGCACAAGCAAAAAGGCGACATCCAGACGGCCATCACAGTGATTGAAAATGTCAAGTAAGTGTTGGTTCCAGGTTTGGTTGGTTGTTTTTCATGTCATTCGACAAATTAAAGTATATGAAAAAGGGAAGTTTCAGAAATAACAAAAGTATTAAAGTCCCATGTTTCACTGGAGCTGTTTTCAGACGTGAGCTCTGGAAAATGACAGAAAAATTGTGACAAGACATTCTGCTGTTTGCTTTTCACATGAAGAATGCAGCAGGAGATCTTAGCTGCACTATTGTGAACCCTGCTTAAAATGTTTGTTCAAAGAGGCAAAATGCATGTTTGTCGTGGTGTTAACGTATTACACAGGGTGCTTATATGTGATCTTATTTGTAGGCTGAACTACAAAGACTACAACATGGAGTCCAGGCTTCATTTCCGCATCCATGCGGTGCTCAACACTATGGGCTCCTTTGCGGCCAAACTCCACCCTTCACGTACTCCCGCTTAAAGACCCCAGGAAAGTCATCAAAAAAAAGCCTGAGACTCTTGCTCTCGACTCTGTGCTGCCCTCAGCTGTGTTGTGACTGAACTTGACCTTCTCTACATGGGGTCTCACCACAGCCCTCACAGAGTGTTGTTTAAAAAGTACAAACCTGACTGAAATTCAATGTAGAGCAACAAGTAGAAGCGGCCTCAGATGTTGAGCTACTGAACTGCCCTAAAATGTTTTTGTTGTTTTAATTCAATCACGCTACAGCCTGTGAGCACTTCAATAATTGGATATTTAGTTTGAGGCTATTTCACTTGTGTCTCTATCATCTTGTCTGCACATTGGAATTTTGATTCTCTTCAGAAGAGGCCTCCATATATATATGCTAATGTGGCAACAAACTTCATACAGAACAATATTTGCCATTTTGTCAATACAGGGCAAGAAGACGATTGTGTTTCTTTCTTTGTTCACAAAACAACCACGATAGGCCTCTTGGACAAATCTCAATTCTGTGAATCTGAAAGACAGTGTCTTTCAAGAGGCCTATCGTGGTTGTTAATCTCTGGGTTCAATCATCTCACAGCCCTCTGGCTGTCTATGAAGGGGCAATATCCCCCTGAAGTTTAGATCAGAGGTACTGGCCCTAAGCCATTAGGTCACATTTGAGGTCAGGGCCTCGTGGGTTGCAGAACACCTAGGGGGGTGGGGTTGAACAATGTTTTAGAGATGAGCAGAAAGTGTGTATTAGCCAAAACTGTCTCAAAAGACAAAATAGTTTAAAATCAAAACATGAAAATATTTTTTTAAAGTCATCAGGCCTCTGATTTTATTTGTACCCACATGACCCCTGAGGCGATGATGGTGATTAGTGATGGCATCAGTCGCAGCAAGTCGAATTACAGCACCACAGGAAACATAACCATGTTGGTGATTTATTTTCTTTTTCTGACCAGTTCAAATCAATATCTTCTGCCTGATTCAGCCATAGAATGAGGGTCACAAGTATCTGGCACTGGTTATTTTGAGGGTTGTCAGCTGAGACGTTTGGGAACCCCTGGCTCCAGTGACCTAACTTTATGTTAAGTAATTAAAATGAAATTGACCAGCAAAAATGGTAAAATCATACTTACACATTGATGAACTAGTATCAATTATTTGATATAAGAAGAGTCCCAGGAGGTCATCAGAGTACTTTAACTTTAGATATTTTTAGTCAAGGCTGGATTGGACAAAGTGGGCAAATGTCCAGTGGCCCTGAAAGCCACTTTACGGTGTTCAGTTTCTGTCGATATAATTTGCATTAGAAGATGCTCCCTCTTGAGGAGGGACCCTGTGTCAAAATCTAGTTTTAATACTGTCAATGTTTTAGTTTATATTTTTGGTTGTTGGTTGTGAAGTGATTGAATAAATTACATTTTTGTGTTTATCAAGTAATTAAAAGAAAATTGAGAGCAATGTAGTACTGCTTAATAAAAAAAGAACCCACAATTGTTTGAAATGATCGTTTGAATACATTTCTTTTTCTCCACTAATTGATTTTGTGTATAAAATGTAATCTAAATTGCTGTGTTGCCCTGGCAGTCAAAACTACACCTCAAATAAATGAACCAACTTTAATAGAAAACTGTGAAACTAGTGAATAATGTCTTCGGAGAAGCTGGTACCACTATATTTTGGGCATTTTTTTAAAAAATAAAACAACTTTAAACCAGTTATCAAACTCGCTGCTATCAAGTTGAAATTCAATGAACTCACCATATGATCAAATAATTATTTTAGCTGTGGGGCACTGGTCGGTTTCTGGGAAGATAATGGAACCGTAGTTTATGATGGAGGCCAGTGACAAACTTCCACACTGGGAGCCCCGGGACGTTAATCCGATAATGCTGTAAGTGCATTTTACATGATGAAGAAGAATTTTTACTCGTGCTTAAGTATCTTTATACAAGTGTTGGTACTTTAAAGAGATAGTTCACCCAAAATTTTTAATTCACTCATCAAATCACCGCTATGCAGATGGAGTGGTGATTCAAATGGTTATTGGATTTGGCTGCAACGCTGTTTACCCCTGAGACTCCTAAAGTGTTTTGTGGACACAAACACTTCACCCACCCCTCCATCGGCATAGTGGTGTGTAGATCATTTTCCTGGGAACTATCCCTTTAATACCGCTGTTATCCTCCTCTAGAGCCATGTATTCGTGTGTGGCTCTCAGAGGACATTTAAGCTGAAAACATTTCCGTTTCAAGCCATATTTGAAAGTCTGGGCTGACGGATAATTGGATGACACCACTCGAGCAGTATGGAGACATTTTCTGTTTTTTCTTCTGTTATTTTTTTTACGTTTGAGGAATCGGTCACCATTTACTTCAATTGTATTGATTTGGCTGCAACGCTGGTTACCCCTGAAATTCCTAAAATGGTTTTTGGATTCAAAAACGTCACCCACCCCTCCATCGGCACAATGTTGAGTAGATAATGAGTGAAATGAAATTTTTAGGTGAATTATCCCTTTACATTGAAAAATCTTAAACTACTGACAGTTTCTACATCGATTTGTTATAATGTATTAAAACAATAACACACAGTGTCTGTGTAGAACGTGAGCCAGGGAGCAAAATGAAAGTGTGATGGTGCAGAGGAGGATTTTCAGGTTTCTGTGACACAGCTGTCAGTGCTGCTGGAGACCACGTGGTGTGTGTGAGCCGATCAGCTGACTCCGCCGGGGGAGGAGGAGGAGGAGGAGGAAGAGGAGAGAGAAGATGGAAGGGAACCGAGACGAGGCAGAGAGGTGTTTAAATATCGCGACCTCAGCCCTGGAAGCTGGAGACAAGGAGCAGGCGGTGAAGTTCCTGAACAAAGCGCAGCGGCTGTTCCCGACCGACAGAGCCAAAGGTACAGAGCTAACCGCGCTCCGCGTGTACTGTCACACCACCAGGTGTTAGCACGCAGCTAACGTTGCCTAACATGACGCGCACCGCACCAGAACCCCGGTGGTCTGTTGTGTGACAGTAACAAATACGTGTTCCCCTGTCAACACGAGTCACTGGTGAACTGTGGCCTCACAGACAGGAAGCAGAGCGACACACCGGGCTCAGTTGGGAGGCCTCCGGAGTGGTGCTAGCTAACCTAGCTAAAGCTTTGCTCTCAGTAAACCGACGTTTTTAAAAAGGTGACTGTGAGTGAACATGGCGACGACAGTGTTAAATGGTGAGCCACAGTGATGCTTCTGTGCAGCAAGAGGTTTAAATGGTCGACTCCACTCGCGTCAGATCAAATCCAGACAGTGCTAATGCTAGCCGTTGCTTATGTTAGCATCTTGGAGAGTGGTTGACCTTTGACTAGCTTACATTTTAACTTGCTGGTTCCTGGAGATGGTGCAGTGGAGAGGCTGTGTGTTGGGCAGGTTTGGTTTACAGGTGAGGGCAGAGCAGGCCTGTGGAGGCCGGAGGGGGACGTAGGATGAGGGGGGGAGATCAACAGAGTCAGGTGCCAATCTTTAAACTGGATGACCCGGAGAGAGCCTCCATGTGATGGGTTAATCCAGGACTCACAGATGTCTGAGGTGGGACTCACAAAGGCTCTTTAATACATAGTATGGTGAGTGATTGTAAGATAGACAGCTGGATAGATACATACTTTATTGATCCAGAGGGAAATGTAGGCCAGTATCACATGAGACAGTCAAACACAAGAGCAGTGAGATGAAAGTCCAGTCACCAGAACTACTACAAAGCTGCCACTGTAAAGAAGTGTGTGCTACTGGAGATACTGACAGTACAGATGTTTTAAGAGTAAGGTGACTGAAAGACACACGTGACCGAGGCGGCGTATCAGAGACAAATATAAAGACAGATTTAAAGATGAAAAACTAAAGATGTACATAGCCTGTAAAAATGATGGTACAGCAGATGTATTTGTATTTGAAAAAAACAAGTGAAAGCAGGGCAAGAGTAAAACTTAAAATACAAGATAAAGTGAAATAAAGATAAACATAGGCAGCAGTGGTGACGGTGACATGGTTAATGCCTTAATCACTCCATTTCACAGGTGTTTCATCATACCTTGTCCATTGAGATGATAAATAGTGAGACATACCATTGTACTACACTTCAATATAGTTATTTGCTTGCACCTCAGTTTTAACTGTTAGTGTCTGTGTTTACTTGCAGGGTCAAACTAGCAGTGAATGCGTGTTTAGGAAAATGATGCTGAAACTAGATTTTCCCAAAAATTATACTTATATTTGCACTGCTGCGACTTCTTCTTTTTGTGTGAGTGTATTTTACTTCTGCATCTGAAACCGATAAACCAGAAGTGATAATAAGGGAGACTGGACAAATTAGATTGCTTTATACATTGACAAATATGGATCTCAAGAGTGAAGAGGTTAAAAATGTATATACATATATATACGAGATATATGTTATAATTATCAACCTGCTTGGCCAGGGGCAGGAGAAATTGCAGCCAAAGGGGAGAGGTTAAGTTGTGGCTTTTTTGTGATGACATGTCCAATGAACACACCACAAGATGAGCATTGCAATGTAAAGCGATTCACCAAAAGATATATATATATATGTATCAACAACCTCCTGTATTCACCCGATTAGTCATTTACTAGAACAAAAAACCTGTACTTTGGAGTTGCCATTTCCGTGGCTGTGGCTCAGGAGTTAGAGTGGGCCGTCCATTAACCAGAAGGCTGGTGAGTGGTGTGTGTTAAAGAAGTGCAGCATATAGAAATTCTGTATGAATAAGTGAATGTGACTTTTAGTGTGAAATGGAAAGACTAAAAATAACTGAGTCAATTGACCATTTACCATAAAGTTAGGTATTAAACCACATGTTAACATGTTAACCTGCTAATCTCAGCTCCTCTCTCTGCTTCGATATCCTGTCGAGAATGAAGAATGATTTGCAGTTAGTAGTTTGCACAGGATGGCCCGCTGAAAAATATCATGCCCTTCATTCACAGTGACCTGGAAATGTTGATGCAGAGTTTTAGAATGAACTAAACTCTTTCGCACTTTGTAGTCACAAGTTTCCCCACTGTGTGACTAGAGCCAGTGCCTCCCTCACACTTATTTGCACAATTTATTTTCTTGTCTTTTTTTAATGAAGCTTAAAATTAAGAGATTTAAGGCTGAATGTTCCAGCTTGAGCTTATCACAAAAAAAGTCCCTGTTACTATTTCATCTCTTCTTCAGCTTTGTTGGATGCATTAACGAAGAATGGGAGCTCTGCGGGTAATGGCGCATACAGAAGGAGACCAACAGAAAGCTCGGACAGCACCGGCGCCCGACCAGACAGGGAAAGCCAAGAATCTGGAGGAGGTGATTCGGCTAAAGGCTTCACCAAAGACCAGGTGGAAGGTGTGCAAAGGTAAGAATTCAAGCATTCACTACGTCCTCTGGACAAATTCTGGAGAATGTCTGAAAAATTGGGTCCAAACATTTTCAGACACTTTTGCATTTAACGTATGAAAAAAGCAGCAGGAGATTGTCCGGATTAGACGCAACAACAGGATTGTGTCCAGGACATTCAGGCGAGGGGTGGCAGGGTTTATCATGCAGAAGGCAGGACATGGTCCTGCTGATGAGGTCAGCCCTTTTCACTAAACCTCTCGACTCTTCGTCTTTCCAAGTTGACATCTTTGTCAAAAAATTGTATTTTTTCTGTTGCAAGGCCTTCTCACATTTTTCCTGCTGTAATCTCATATTCTCTGGCAAGAAAAGTCCTCGAACATGTCCAGAGCAACTGACTTGGGACATTTGCGTTCCCACACACAGCCCCTCCAGATAAATTCAGGTAAATGTCCAGAGTTCAGTGCATGTTTGAGAGCAGCATAACTGGTTCTGGAGACACACTTTAGTCTTCCATTTTGCTGCTTTCCTACATATAGCCCTGTGGAAGCAGCACTGCTTCTATCACACTCAACTAAACCTTTCAGCTGGGGCTCAAGGACGACACTGTTTTTGCTGCAGTGTTTTGCACACAGCTATTGCTATGGGAACGTTAGTGTTGTATGTTGCTCACGAGGGGAGCCGAGACATTTGGTGGTGTGAACTAGATAGTAGGTAACCACTACATGCTCTAATTTTAGACCAAAATTAGAACGTGTAATGCAGTTGCTGCATATCACCCACATATACATCATCAGAACACTGCTGATGGCAATATGAGCCTCTGAAGCAAATTGTGTTCGTCTCTAAGATGACAGTTGTTAAGCAATCCTGCTGGTGAATTCATATTAAACTTAGTCAGTCAACCTTTCCCTGGTGTGCTAAAGAAAGTCCTCAGAGGAACCCTCAGTGGGTTGAAAACTGCATCATGTCTTTATAAAACAACAACAACACAAGACTGGTTGATTATTGATTACATTAGAGTCTCCTGTGACTTCATCAGTCACCCTACTCTTGTCATTATTAAGTGATTGGTAATAATATTTAATTTTCAACTTTTTGTCCTTATATTGTTTCATAGAATTTGTGTGTGTGTGTGTGTGTGTGTGTCCGTGTCCAACCTAAATGTGTCTTTGTGTTCTCTCAGCTGGCATCAATCAGAGTGTGTGTGGAGCCGA